CGGTCCCTTTATATATCATACTGAGCTTAATGCTACCCTAGTCTGTCTAAAAAGAAGTGTAAGTGGATAAGAAATCAGGCGAAAGGGAAGTTTCCTTTACCCAGTACGTATAGTCCGCTTGCTGCGCTATTAGGGCTTGGTACCTACCAAGCCAGAGTATATTATATGGACTATGACATATGACAATACAAATTATAAGGACGATGATCATGGGCTGTAGATAATGGCAAGGTATTTTAAGTGTAATTTGATTTGGTTTTAAGGCTGGTTATCTCTATTATGTCTCATGATCGGAATTTCTACTCAGTTCGCGGTTCCCCCGTCACTAGTCACGCGCTGCAGCGGTTCAAAATCCCAGTGGAATTAAAACCTGGTTCCYCAAATGACTAAACAGTTTTGGTTTCAAAGAGTACTACAATAATTACGAGGCAATTTCACTAGTGGGTACCAAGCCTGCGTTGCTTGTAACAAGATCCAGATCCGAACTGAACGCAAGCTACTGGGTACCAAACCTCAAGTCCTTAGGCAGGCTTTCTTCAGAAGTACAGTTGAGGAGTAGCAAAGACTCTCTTAGCTCAATCATGTCGTAAATTATCGAGCCCATCAGTTTCCGCAACCACCAATATTAACTATCACTTACCGCTAACACGTGATCGATCGTGCCAATATTCAGGCAGCACGCAGAGAGATTAACTTCGGCCAGGATTTCCACGATTTCCATGTTTACGAGAGCACAACTCAAAACTTCTRGTGTGTTAATCAATTGGCTCTTCAAATAATAACGTTTCTTGATTCTGAAAAAATCATCAAGGATAAATTTTTATCTTGTTTTATATCACCGTGTTTGCATGCCCGAAAATGTGACAGTGATTACGTACGAGGGTCCTGGATTTCAATAACACGTTTTTTTGTCGGATAAGACAAATATTTGACCTTCTTGATGCTCATATCACGTAGCAGGGAAGGAAGACTYGCGATAGCAGGATTAATCAATAAATAAATAGAATTAACTAAAAAAGGCCGATGTGTTTGAAACGCTGGTTGACGTGCCATTGCTTTGTGACCCTTCTCAAAAACAAGTGTTGTTCTTTAAGTGTTTTGCAATCATTCCCAACTAAGAATAAGAAACAACTAACCGAAAATACGTGTCTTTCAATCCTGAAAAATGACCTCCCGAATAATTAATGAGCATGAGAAGTAATTTCAAAGCCTCCAAATCGGACTGGACGGGATTTCAAGTCCTTGCAATTAGTTCCAGTCCTCGGCTGCGCCTCGCACTGCAACGAATTGCGCGGACTTGAAATCCCGTCCAGTCCGATTTGGAGGCTTTGAAATATTACATCCAACATGGTAGCCATAAACCGTATAATACCAGTAAACTGTATGCACACGGTTCTTTTTCAACATCATCTTTTCTATTCTTACTGATGATATTCCCGGTCCGCAATATAGTCTTTTGTTCCGTCATGAGATGCTAGTTAGCATGCTGGAGGTCATGCAAGTTATTAGGGTCATTTAGTACATCGTTGAATGAGCTGCCCCGGGATGACAAACCAGATATAAAACATTCAATGCTTGAAAATAAGAAAAAATGCTGACATTTTTGAAAGAAAACATTTTTGAGCTCTAGCACGAGAGTCTGTGGTCGTTTGTTGTAGGGAAAAGAGGTTTATCAACGAAAGAGTATGAAACAGATGAATGACTGAAGCAAGATACTTGTAAGATACTTGTACTTGTAAGATATATACGAGGAAAATCCTGACCACGAATAATGCCCAATAGCACACAAAGGAACTGATAAGCTTAGCCCCGGCTTTTCTCTATCTCAAGTACGACATGTCCATCAAGATTTGACCGATTTTTGGGCTTGGTGCATGTTAGACCATGTTAGCTACTTCTTAGTAAAAACTGATATGTTTTCAATATCTCGCTATTCAGGCTTTTAACAATAGGTAATGCAATAAAAAACAATGGGATTTTCGCAATTTCAATTTTGGTTCACTTTAGGTTTCAAAAACAATATTGAGACCAAATAAAAAATGCCAGTTAGGTTGCGGATAGAATATACATCATTGGAGAAAACTTGTAGAAACAATTGTAGAAGCACCTATGGAGGCCAGTGGAAAACCGGGCGCTAGTGAAAAAACCAAGCACTCCATTTAATTGGCCGAAATTCAAAACTGGAAAAACCAGTTAGGATTCAGGCATCCCGTGCGTTATAGATAGGTAGGTACGTGCAACGCTACAGTGGGATCGAACATCCTACGCTCACGTGGACATCATTTCCAAATAACAGGCTTCCAATATGTTTACTTTTACTTTGGAGAGTTCTTTTATTTTTGGAATATCCTCGTCTAGTTCACTAATATGACGGATAGGTTTACGTCGACATTACAAGCGAATTCTGTCAATATGTTTGATTTGCATGCCTTATATTGACTGTKCTGAGAATAGAATCCATCAGAGATATTTGCTGTAGATGAAAGTAATAAAACCAGCTGCATGTCCCAGACACATACTAGACTAAGTAAAGTATAATTAATTTCCCTAATGTCACAAGTAATGTACATGATATTTTAAGGGTAATCCCCATTCGCAACAGATAAGTGACTACTACTATCCTTCCCTCCATCTCATAGTGGTTCTKGCGTCCTGTTTCCTTTTTATGCTCYCTTAAGCTTTTTCTTACATCACTGAGAAGATTACTGATGAACTTTAACCTTGGGAACTGACTCTGAGCTGAAGAACGAAGAATAGTAGAAAATGAAAAACGGAAAGAAGAAAGGAAAAAACAAAAAAGCAAGGAAGCAGTAAGGGGGAGAGAGAGAATAAGGAAAATAGCAAGTAGGGATTTCCTCTTGAAAAACTGCTCTTCCGAACATCCATTTTATTTCCGGTATCACTGTATATGGTATAATCGTTGAACTTTCTTTCGTCGTGACCACTAATTTTCATCACAGACCTGGCCGCATCCAGCTTGAGGAAAACCAATCTGCTCTTATGGATCCTTTTATCACTCGTCATATTTTTCTGTTGTTGTTATAATGTTTTTATTTGACGTCTTCTGTAGGCAGACATTACATCATTTGGCCCTCCTACATTAAAATTCGCCAAATAAGCAATGAAATAAAATGATTACCCGTGGCTACTGACGCTTATCATTAACTATAACATATTTATTAACTCTAAAGAACACGCGAGGAACATTCTTTTCTATCTCAGCTTGAAGCCAAGGCATGGGGTAAAGATATTGGAATAAAAAGTGAGTCGGCTTGTGAAAAGCAATAGCAAGGGGGATGTGATCGATTCATCAAATGAGTGCACGTGAAAGAGTGAATATAGAATGAAAGATCCTTGCCCAGAAACTCATCCAGGCCTGGAACGGATACTCATTTTCTTAATGAATGAATGAAAAGAAAAAGTAAAATGTATGATTAATTAAGTAGATTAATAAAATGATACTGAGAAATTTATCGTTCTTACTTTCTAGCTTTCATATCAGTTTCCTATCCAGTAATAAACGGCTGACAGTTTTTTTTTCCAGAGTCGTAACGAGTTGATTAACCAGGTGTTATTCTGTAGTATTTAATTCACTTTCAAAAATAARTGCTAATTTGAATGTCATCTACTCACAAAACTACTTCATTTGCTTCTTATCCAATCAATTCCTCTATTTATTCATTTTTGATTTTAAAATACTTCACGATGACATATATATTTTACTAGATCTTTTMATTTTCTTCTCATGAAAATAAAGCWATAATGAAGAAATAACAAAAAAGAATCTAGATCTTAACCTGCAGCGGGGTGATTAAGGTAGCAAGACATCTGCGTGCTGTGTTATTCATTTGCACATTTAGCTCGTAGTTTATTTGTGACGTTGTTTCGAGGGTAGCAACCGGCGACGTTCGACTAAATCGCGTTCTTCTTGAGTAAATCACCTACAATTGCGCGGCAAACTCCATAATTTACGACCCATAAAAGACTATTTTTATATCCAAAGTAGGCAAAGCCCAAACTGACTAAGTGTTTTAATCGTTTAGCTCGGTGCCCCTCGRCTATTTGTTAAATACTGTTGTCTTTGAATATTTGAAGCTGGGGGAAATGAATMGAGTAGAGCCTTGCGGCGTGTTAAAACACATGAAGTAAATACAGAGAACGGAGCAGAATTTGTTTCTGGAAAATGTTTATGGTTTTTATCTTCATAACTAGAGTGAATGAGAGAGACCATGATATATGATGCCCCAAGAAAAATGAAAGAGCACTTTTGGCGAAATAAGATGGCTAAATATTTTGTTTTTGTCAGTGATCATGAAAATAAAGAGCAGGGGAAAAATAGTTTTTCCCACTCTCAGACGTCTTCCTTCTCTTGTTCTTCCTCTTTCTTTCTCTTGTCCTTCCTTTGTTCTTGTTGTTTTTTGTTCTCTTTTATTAATTTCTTCTTCTTCTTCTTTTCATTTCTTTTTTCACTATCGATTTGCAGAATTCACTTTATCAATATGCATTTGATATATTATTGTTTTCCACCACTGAAAAATCTATACAGTTTAGAACAGTCATCAGTTATTTGACGGTACAGTCAAGGATGTTTTTGAAGACCGGAACTAAAGTTAAATAAAGCCAGGATATTTTTAAGTTTTATTCCTTGTTCCGTTCTCTCAACTGTCKATTATTCATTTCTATGAAACATGTTCCAACTGACTCACGTTTTTTCTCCTAAACTTGATACGACGGCTATTAGAAGCCTCAATTSAAAGCGCTGAAAGGATTTCGGAGCTTTTATTTTGAACTAATTATCTGAACCTTCTTTCTTCCTCTCGATTCGACGATTYGGCTAATTATTCAACATGTGACGTCAACGTCAGATAATTTCCAACTCGGCGGAATAATCATGTGTGTACCTCGCGTAAACAGTTCATGAGGTGAGCACGGACAGCTTRTGACGTCATGACATTCTCGTAACGTGAGCGAATATTTACGTACTAAGGGTATATAAACAATCCATTCAGTGATCCATAGCATTAGAAGGAAAATAAGTGTTAAGATCAGTAGTAAGTCAAGTTCAGTCGCGGTAAAATTATGAACATGTCACAAGCTAAAACCGGGTTTCTTTGGCTCTCCAACCCACCCTACGATCTTCAGAAACACAAGCTACGTGTTGTTGCCTATACTGGGATGTCTGATCCCTTCGTTGTGTTTTATAACGAAGCTACGTCTGTGTGGAAAAAACCTTGTGCTGTACTCCGACTGCTACACGAGTGTAGAGTACAAGAGAATAAAGATCTAAGCTTCGTTGTCACTCCTATGGGAGAGAGAATTGGTAATGGACCCACGTCACTGACGTTTACTGCTCAAAATGAACAAGAAAAAGACGAATGGGTTCGGATTTTTAAAGACTTCCAAAAAGAGCCAAGAGGGCTGAAAAACTTTACTGAACGAAAAAAGAGTTYACCTTGCGTGCCCAAACTGGCAGCCATTGAGGAAATAGAAGAAAGCTGGGAACAAAGAAAGCGAAAGAGAAGTTTGATACTAGCATGAGATGTATTGTATGGCGTCTTTCACTAGAAACTGAAAATAATACAAAACATCACGTACGAGTGACGGTGGTTCGCGTCAGGTCTTAAGGGTGTCAATGTGAGCAAACGAAACTAAATCTAGTATTACGAGATACAATTAAGGCACCTACAGAACTAAAACTTGCTGCAAGTGGTTAAACAGRAATCATCAAAGAAGGCATTGGTAAAGAGATGATATTACCACATCACGTACTCATCCGCGTGGAAGGTTGTTGTGTGACTCACTGCCAAGCACTCGAATCTTCYACAGTGTGAAAGAACTTTTAAACAATCCAGAAAGCACGAGCAAAAATGTACAATCAAACGGTCATGAAACATTTTTCTTGTTGAATTTTTGTAAATGTTTTTGGTTCGAAAATTTGGAAAGAGTTAGTTGAATCTTTTCCAATAAAGAGACACTCAGTTATGCAAACCACTCGTGACCCTGATTTTGTAGACAATTTAGTTTCGAGCGGTGAGTCATTAACCAAATATGTAAATTTAGTCATCAATATTTTTGCAGACAAAGAATTAAGGATTATTTATYGAATTGTACATAGCTTAACTTGTCAATATTTGAATGTAAATACTTATCAGAGTATCATTGTGAAAGTTGTGGATWAAAATTATATTTTTATAAAAGACTTACGGCATTGTCTAGTGTCAATTCATGGCTCTTATCAGAGTTCTTATTATGAAAGGTAACCTCGGTTGAACTGATGTCGATGGATATCACGATGTAAAGTTATAAGAACAAACGTGGAAAGATGTCTGGTCTCTATTGTCTGGAATAGCAAAAAAGGACAGTTTGTTCGCTCGACTGCTAAGTTTGACAAAATGTTAAAAGAAACACAACGTCAGTTTGATGGGCGTCAGTGCCATCAGTGTACCATCTGGACTATCTTGTCTCATAGAACCGCTGGATCACAAACCGTACCAAGTGACAATATGTCTTGACGACTGACTAAAAGTACAATTGAATGACCTGGTTAAATATGAAATATTGGTATTGCATARTACAAAACAGCCAATAAATAGTTGTTGTATACTCGTGAATGAATGTCTTTTAGTGATATCATTAAAATYTTGGTTTGATATTCCCTTTTCAGTAGCCAACATTCTTATTTCCCAGTTTTCAGAATCAGTTTCGTTGGCGGGGGTTCCAAATGGCCGCCGTGCAGKGAACGCTCGCGCGATAGGCTTCACCAAGGGGGCTCAAATTTCATTGTCTGCTGAGTGTAAAGAACAGGATCAGAGCTTCACGATATGCCACTAAGAGGGGTTCCATTGAACCCATGGAACCATCCCTATATCCCCCTCTGTTGTTGTTTTTATCCCTTCGACTTCCTTCTATTTCTTTTTGACTTTCCTATCTAGAGTCAAATAAGCCAAGCCTACTTCAATMCACTTGTCTGTTACCAACTGACAACTTGGCCAAAGATAACAGGTACAAGACTACGTACGTGCAGGACCTCAAGCTAGGGTAAAAAACAAGTTGTTTTTTAGGGATACCTTCAGACTTCACGTCGGTTGAAGTTTGCGCTGCGGAAACGAGCGGCGTGGGTGTTAAATGATATCGGCCGCCTTCATCCTGACGACAGGGAAATGGATGTTTCCTGTTTTTGTAAAAATGCATGAGAACCGTTTCCCCATTTTCCACCTTGCTCGCTATTTGCGGTTCGAATCTAAAATTCAAAGTTGCTCGAGCTTTAGAGATATCGCGCATTCGTACTCACAAATTCCCAAGACAACGGCGTGTCTTTTTTTGTAGGCATCTGGATTCAATTTATCCACCTTAGATCCAACCCAGCAAATTTCAAAATGTTTGGGGTTRTTTTTACATTAAATTGTATATAACATTATGCTTTAACGTTATAAAAACAAACGTTTAAAAACGAAATTATGCCAACAATAATTTAGTACAGTACTTTATTGATCAAGAAGGTCAGGTGCATGCACACCATGCTCATGCGTAACAAAGATAAGTTTTTCCGGTTGACTCCGAAATATCATGTCTTACTATTGTGACATCATGAATTTTAAAATGGCAAATAGGAAAAAGTAGCGATCCGTGAAGAAACACTGACTGAATTGGGGTTTGTTTGCGTCTTTTTCGGAAGTGACTATTTTTTGGCATTATATGTTTCCATTCTGAATCGAAAGTCAAACGGCTAAATAATTATCCTTGCATTGATATAATTAAAATGTAGACCACTCATAKTAGTGAATAACATTTTTATGTCTTTACATTCAATAGTATAATAGTCACCTGSTACCCATGATCATGCGAATCTGATCAGTGTTCAGTTTGCCGATGAAGACATTGTTAATAAATATTAGGCATCGTTATAACGGACTGTTCATTAATTATGCCTCAGGGGGGGCTGGAGGAAAAATCGAACAAAACTTTGGAAAAATCCACAACCCCCCAATTCTAACTAAAAAAAATTTTTGACCCCCATCCCCCCCTCCTTGTGACCTTTTAGACATACCTTAATTAATTGTTTCAACCCCCCCTTTAAGTCAGCAAATACTATTAAAGCCCCCCCTCTTTGTGAGGTTGTGAGGCCCCATGAACAGTCTCTAAATGATAAAAAAAAGATTAAGATAATTCGGCAACATGAAACAAAAATAGCATTGGCCGAGTCATTGGCTGATATTACAATTGCAGAAATTATAATGTTCACTAACTGGTAATGATGACGCAATGATGGAGAGTTTTATAGGAGAAGTACCATATGAGTGCATGTTTTGATACAATATCTGAAGATGTATACTAGAGTAGTTGCAGACATAATCTATAGGCCTCAATGGTGTATACCCATCACTTGACGTTGGTCACGATACTTTTTTCCTTTTAACTATTTTCAATTCATTGCTCGAATGTCCGGGTATATACTACCCTAAGTCTTGTATTCYTCTTTCATGAAGTCAAAGTAAACGCAGCAATGCATCTTAGTACTGTTATTTTGGAGCATTGAGTAGTATAGCCGTTTGTTGTTGTGTTCGGTCGCCTTGTTTTCTAAATATAGTTAAAACTTTAGTATATCTAAGTTCCTTAGTTTCATTCCAGGACTTGTTTTGCTGTTCTGCATTTCAGTTCTGTTTTGATTAGTTAAGGCATTTCTGGTACAGTTTAATTTTTCTTGAATACATAAAAGCCAGTTAAACTTTTGATAGGTTATATATTTTTAAATAAAAAGCTTATATTTTTAAATTAAAAATTAAGCGGCGAGAATTCTTTTCGTATTCGAGCAGTGAGCGCCAAAACACTATTTTCTTGAAGAAAGGCTGTTGTACAAGGCTAAAATCTTGTTATTCAGAAAGTTTAACTTGTTGGAAGTGGAGATGACCGATGAAAGTGGAATCAAAGTGTTAACCCAAAGCAAAAATTTTATTCAAAAATCAGGTTTAGGCCTTCATTTGCTTATTTCCCATACGTTTTCTATAAAAAAGCCTGACAAAGCAACATTCTAACACAAATGCAACAAAACACCTTTGTACAATTGAAAATACCACTTCAAACAGGCATTTTATCATAGTACATAAGTTTCTAACTGTTTAAAAAAGGTTTTGAAACTTAACCCAAAACGAAAATTGGGATCAAAACTCATACGAAAGTCTAGTTTTTGGCGCTTTTTGCCATTACTGCTCATTATGGAAAAAAWTTCCTCTTAAAATGTTTATATAGATCGTTTAAAGGATAATAATGAAGTACCGTGTAGACTAAGCAGAATTAGAGCGGAATGATTCCGCTGCATTAACTCAATTAGTTTATATTAATATCAGCATATCAACTATGATTAGTATGCTAAAAACCGATTAAACTATACTAAAAGCTCACCTGCCGTGATCATAAATCAGCCAGTTGTCAGCTTTTTTCGACTCGTTTCTCCTCCCACGAAGTCTAATAAAGCATCCTTGTTGTTTTTCATTGACAATTTTATCTTAATTAAAGCGTTTCGAAGGTGGTTTCAATGCAGAATCATCTGGTTTCCTCTGGTTCCTTTCCCTCTTTTCAAGCTATCACGACGACAGCGAAATTTGCGCACGTGTCTTCGGCAAGAGCTTAGCGCGCCAAAACAGCGAGTTAGTCACGTGGGCACAGGCAACTCACTTTAAAAAAATAGAATAACTTAGCAAGGAAAAAATATCCTATTTTTTTCTTTTCTCTAAGTTAGGTTTTCCACGTTGAATGTTTTCCGTCTAATGCTGATGTCAGTTGATTTTACTGATTCTGGATACCAAATTGGTCTACCTGTGTAACTCGCACTCGAGATCCTGGGGATGAGTTTAGATTTGTTATGGCGGCGATTTCAAAGTCAGCCATTTTGAAGATCAAAAATATTTAACAATTATTTCCATTTCTAAGGTATCTACATGCTCTAGAGATGTAGAGATGCAGATCTTTCTACATCCTAAATGACCGAGTGCAAATTTAGGTTAAAAAGTTGATCTTCAAATGAGGTTGGTTGTTTTATCCCTTCGATGTCAACGAGAGGGCTATACGTATTGGTTAAAGTACTGTCTGTACATAGAAACTATGCTTTTCCTTGTTGTGTCAGCTGTTCTACAAGAGTAAGGACTGAAAACGACGAAAATATGTAAGCTTAATTTTTATTTTTATGTGATAGATACTTTATTACTACTCAACAGTTCCAGGTTGTGTTTTTTTCACAGCATAGTAAGARGTTATCAAAAGATAATGGTTACTCAATCTAACTTATTTTATGTCTTTTATTTCATTTTTAATTGATGACGTTAATGAAGCTACGTAATTCTAAATTTTATTTCATTCAAAAAATAACTCATATTTTACTCTCAAGATTAAGATATAGGGAGAGAGAATTAGAGATAGGAGACACTTAAAAACTGCTCAAAAGTAAACTACTTGTTAGGCTTATTTTGTTCTTTTTTTATTCTTACAGATTTTTATGCAGTAAATGTCAGCAGAAATATGACAAGAAACATATCACCTATCGGTACAGGGTCAACATGACTGTCTCAGATAGGACTCAGGTTTCAAATGTTACAGTCTTCGGTCACTGTCTTGAAAATTTCTTTGGAACAAGTGCAACACATCTTAAAAGGTTGGTTCAAGATGAKAATTTTATAACAGGAAATGYTTTGTATAAGGGAAGGTGGGGTCCATTTTCTTTCGTGGTGCTCTRGTACACAGGTTTAAGGGCATTTGAATTGGCCAAAYATGTGCCAATTTTGGCCCATYATTGTCTGTTGACCTGCCACAGAGYATTATGTCATGCTTATGTCTCTTATTGATAACATATTMATTATGCATTGTTTATTATYGTGAAGGTTTGTTGAGGGTTTGTATTTGGAGAAAGAGGAGCTTCCATTACCAGTGGATCAGCTTGTTCACCAATGCATAGAACAATGTTTTGTTGGCTCCATGATCAGACTATGTTTTCGTGGACTACACCCTTGCCTGACAGACTCCCAAGCATCAAGATCATCACCTACTCACTTGAAAAACATTTCARTAAAAATGCAAGAGGTCAAAATGAACTATTTGTCCAGACAGCAACAAAATACTTCACATTTGCTTGCAAGTTATATGTCAAGACCTGGAGACACTGAAAAGAATGCAACAGTTTTTGAGCTCTTAAAAGAATACTTGGTGTTTTTTAGGTGCTCTAAAAGTATGACTCCCTCTTGTGGTTCAACCAATGGACCATATCCAATGAGTTCCTCAGGTCCTCACCATAACACATCATTGCAGAGTAATTCAACACTTCACTATAAGGGTTTTAGAAGAAAAAGCTCTGAAGACTTTAATCTCATGGTTTCACCTTTAGTGCTTTCTTGTGAAACGAGGGAATCAAGTCAGTTGCCCACATCAAGTTTATTAAATTTGAATAGTGAAGTTGATTTACCAATTCAAATAGGTAAGTACATACTGTACATACAGTAGGTAAGCCCTTGCRTTGAAACTTTTAGCTGAAACTTCTGTACAGGGGCATGATAAGACAAGTTATACCAAGGCTGGTATGTTACAATATCCCATTGCCATTGCACACAGGTTTCAGCTAATTGTTTAGCTGAATGTATCAGCTGTACTAACTCTGCTCAACTTACAGTGTAGCATACTCAGCATGGACTTTTATATTAATGTGAMTAAAATAGGGTGACCAATTTACAAAGTCAGATATTTTTTGTTCCAATTAAAAAAACCCTCATTATGATTTACATGTGTTTTATYGAAGGGTGAATAGCATAATCAGATGGATAAATCTTATCCAGTGGATAATTTAATTGGATAATACAGTAGCATTGACGTATTCACTGGTTAATGATTTATTGGATAGCGCTATCCAATMTTTGTAAAAGAGGGCCYTGTAGTTTTTAATTGTTATTCCTTTCACATTATGTTCAACTTCTCCTTTTTTTCTTTTGCCATTTTGTTTTTTCCCCATGCCTATTGCTTGTAATATCACTTCAACTGTCATTGCCATTRTTTTACAGATCCAGAGCTGAAAAGCCAAGCAAGAATGAAAAACACTGCTTTTTTAGATAGCAGTCCAAACAGAACTGCTCTGATGCTGGTAAGCCTGCTGAATATGGATGCAAGCGAAGAGTGCATTGGTGAGTCGAGTATTGATACTACCAATAACACAGAAAATATTCATGACAGGTCTAGGTCATTGTGTAACACTTCTGAAGACCTCAAATGCTCAAATGAACCATCATATCTGRCAGAAAACATTTTTCACACCAAACATGATAACGAGAGAATGCATAATGAAGAACTGGCATATTTAAATAGTCAAAGTATAATTGGAAAACAAGAATATATTCATAATGATATCGAAAATGAAAAGCAGGAGCTACAGTCTGATATGGATTTCTTTCTCGATGAAGATCTTAGTAGCTTCTTTGTTAACTTGAGCCTAGGCTTTGATCCGAAAAGAAACAAAAGCAAGCACGAAAACAGTCAGTATGCTAAAGGGGAAAAGCCTSCAATCGAATATCAACCTTGCGATCGTCTAGATGATTCTCATGAATTTCAAGGTCATTTATCATCTAGTCGTAACTCTTTGCAATATGATTCTGACCAAATCAGCGTTTTGTTCCCAGAGGAAKTGTTAACGGATCTAGAATTCTCAAAATTCTCTCTCCTTTGTGATTATGCTACCTTACGAGAGCCACGCCCTTCAGTAAGCAAAACTTCTCCCGTGACGTCATTAAAGGAACACACGAGAACTGCCAATGACAATGAATCCGTCTTTTGTTATTCCAGTACTGAAAAATCTCCRTCTCAAAACAAGTTTTCTGGTACACCCACACAGCTGTCGTTTCAGTCTTCCCGGCTTGAACAAACTAGCACCCCGGTGTTGTTTGATGACTCACGTGACCTGAGCGAAAGCAAATTTAAGTTGTATCGCTCCTTATCATTGCCGGAAGCCCTCCAACTTGCCGACGTGAAGGAAAGAGGCATAAATTTGAATATTCATTCTACTCCTATGAATAGTGAATGTGAAAGGAAATTTGATGACTTATCGGGAGATCTCCAAAAWTATTCTGGTCTATTTCTCAATGATAGAGAAAGACGATTTTCTATAGGACCAACYGTTTCATTAAATGGAACTGACGAAGATGCCATAAAAGGTAACGAGGACTGTCCAACAAAAAGAAAAAGTTTGGAAAATATAAAACATGTGTTTTCCAGCGCGTGTAGCCGAATGGAAGAGGCTCCACAAAGAGAAGAAGGCAGAGAGCAAAATTTCGTAGAAAGTTTTTCTGTTCGAAGTGAGAGGACTCCTGGAGAGTCCGGACTAGAGACGTGGCGTACAAGCGACCAGATCTGTCCAGAATCGCCTCTCCTATTCTCATTTTCTAGTACTGAAAGTAATTCTTATAAGTTGACGCCTGATATTCAACAAGACAGTCTGCTTTGYGCATCACTTTTAGAGTGTTCGTATTTGAAGTAGATTTAACTCTGATGAATTTTTTTTCGTCTCATGATTTTCTTTATACTTATTCTGGCAAAGCTATTAAGTTGCATGGGATAGAAAAGTTAGAAGAATAGCAGCACATACATACTTTCCTTGAACTGTGATTATATTCCGTACTTTTTTACCACTTCTGATTACATATTATTTCTTTGCTCAGTTATCGTCATTACAGGAAATACGTTTATGTGAACTCCCATTCCCGTGAGATTACAAATTGGAAACTTAAAATCAAAGAATCTAGTGTTCACACATGCATCCATTTTTTCATGTGTTGTACAGCATAGCTCAATACAYCAGTAGTAAAAATGCTTGCAATTTTCAATTGTCTCTTTGTTGACTCCACCTASCATCGTTATAAGATCTTTCCCCATGACGTATATATCGACATGTGGGGTCTGTCGTGTTGCGCGCTTTATCATTAGACAACGAGATTTTAATTATCAGTAGTGACTGGCCTACTTTTTTACTCATCCGTCAAAGATAAATGAACCAGATAAACTGAGACTCGATCACCTTCTGAAAAAATATTCAAAAGAAAGGTAAAACTTCAGGAATATTTCAGGGTTTTTGCCTCGAAACCAATGTCAATTTCTTCTTAATTAGCTACTATGCAGTAAATCTTATCATTTTTTCTTTTTATCACTGGTGTACAATTCCTTAATAACTTGATAACTTTGACTAATTCTCTGAGTCCACCAGTCTAGAATGACCTCACTGAAAGACAAAAATGCTTTTAAGACAATCTTCTTTCATTTCCGAGCGTTTCACGATATGGCCATTGATAAGCATCATTATATAAGCTTTATACAAGTACACTACCTCTTCAACCAGTGCATGCCAGTTTTAATGTTCATCTGTGTTAATTATATAACAGTCGCTTGCTAGCAATACTACGGTTTAGTTCGTTCAAAGGACCTCTATTACTCCACGATGGACTGAGAGGTGAGTTGAAACAAGAGGTGCAATTTCTTTCTGTACTAGCCTTTCTCCATAAACATCATCTGGTTGTTTTAGGGAACGCTTTAATACTTATGTGGCGTCTTTTTTTCTTGCTGATATTAGAAAGTGATAGGAAACCTYAATTGTCGTGTTTATTTTCAAATTTCTTTCGTATCTTGATTTATAAAATGTCAACTGACTGATTAAGCGTCCCTCAAACAGCCCCATRATGCAACACGGCTTCTACAACTCCAGAAAAGCTAGTTATCTATTATCTTGGGTCTTGCCTTGGATCAGATCTTATGTCACATGGGATACTTCCAGACATCAAGGAAGTTTGCACGAACTGCATAGCCGACGTCACAAACAAGCTTTGTTCAGTTAGTGGATTGCAGAATAGAGAATAAGGGTTTCCGTACCTTTAAACCTTGCAAGAAAGTGCCAGTTTTCTCCTATTAGATAGGTTGTTTACCTCTAAGCCAAGCTTTAGTTGTAATCTACTGATAGCTTATCTTTCATGCCTTGAAATATCAGCTAACTTTTTYAAGGCCTGAGGGTCATTTGATCGCCGAGATTTATTCATGCTAAGTCAGACAGTTGTAAGCCAAGTGAGAGTGCGCATGTCATGTCAGCAACCTTTGTTCTGGTTCATGGATAACAATTCCATGGATGGAGGCGAATAATCACGGAGCCTAGTGTTGTCAGTAAATATAGAAAGTTTTTTGYGCTTAGCTGCTGTATGTATGCCGGACCGTTTTAATCTGAAAGTTTAGGCCTCTTCCAGCGAGAAACTCTAGCGAGGCGCACTAAAATTCTTCCCAGCTGTTTGCGAAGGAATTTTGATGATACTCAACAAAAGAGAAATTTTTTTATTCATTTTTCAGACATTTTTTTCTAAGCCAATTGTCAAGGCAAATATTTTTCAATGCACGAAAAATATATATATTTATGTCCTAAGGAAGATTAGATATGTATTTAAGCAAATTAGTACGTGCTAAACTTCGAGAAAGTTCGGCTCAGTGTCCATATATTATATTTAGCAACGGCTGATACAAACTTAGACTGGGAATCTAAGATGGATCGGCCATTTTGATAACATGCAAGTACTTAGTCTTATCGCCCATTATCACTCATGTCGCACAGTTGGAGTTTTTACTCATTGATAATTTGGTATCCGCAGTAGCAATTAAAAGAATTTAGGGGAGGGGAGGAACGGGAAATATACGAAAAGTGAAAAAATACTTATTACGAAAAAAATTGATGTTATGAGCGTGGTGCTATAGTCGCGGCCCTTTAATAGCTTCCTTCATRAGCCAACACGAAGTGAGAAACTTCGGCTTAACCGATTGCAGATCACCTAGGTTATATTATTAATTCACTGAACCCCTGTATCTCTGCATGATGGTCCATATTTCATATTTTAACCTTTTCTCTTATACTCTACACTAGATGGACTGAAACTACGTTTGCRACGAAACAAAACAAAACAAAACAAAAATAACAACTCCAAAAACAGTTAGAAAAGGCTTTCAATTCCAGATTTGATTCAGAATTTTCCAGCCCCCACTCGGTTGGCCTCTGGTACCAAGGGTAGAATTTTCGTAATTGTGGGTAATTTTGCCCGTGTGTTGTTATGGTAACATAAATCCAATATGGCTGTCCAGTTCAAAGTAAGGATTTTGAATCATATTCGTTACATTTTAAGAAAACTTCTTCAACAGAAAGCACAATGTTTTTGGATTTCGAGGTATCAGGGGCTTCAGTGATGTGATATATTCGAAAGAAAGGGTTTTTTTTTTTGGAAGACAAAAGCGGAATGGGATTTTATAGTAGGACACGTTTTGCAATATTTGACAAGAAGTTTGAAGAACTGATTCGAGCACTATGCTTAATGAAATGACTGAAATCTAGTATGAAAGACAAGTAGGAAGGTATGAGAATCTGAAAATCTATGGAAGATACCTCCTCCCCCACCCCCCCAATATTGCACTTGGAACGATTTTAGTGGATCGTTTTAAACCTTTTTATCACGATCAAAGTCGATTACCGATTGGTTGGTTCAATGTCCTTGGCCTTCAATGTCCTACTATTTGCCCCTGTTCTTGAGCACCACAGTGTTTACTCTACGGGCGATGATGTTGGTATTCTAAAGTGATGCTTATTCGATATGGCATAACTGGCTTATACGTCGATAGGAGTTCGACCGAAAAACCGCAGATAGCGCAGCATAACGATTCTGCGAAGGAAAAACAATCGATTTATTGTTTCTTTCTCAAACAGCCTTATTTTTCTGACCTTATTCAAACATCTTTTTTTGGAAATAATCCCTAGTTTCCGTACCATGATTTACGTGAGGAACACACCCAATCTTACTGCGATATTTTAGTATTGATGGCTTTGCAATAAACGCGTTTTCCATGCATAGGCTGGCTTCAAAACTATCGGTGTCTCAAATGAACTGATCTTGAACACTCTTGAATAAWTGATACTGAACTAAAGGTCGTTATAGTGACAGTTGAAGCTATGACAACTTAATCAACGGCTGTTGCAGCCATGGGAGGTAAAATAAATGAGTATTTAACTTCTTCCCTCCAAGTTCATATTTCATCGTTCTGATAACAATTAGCCGGAAAATCAATAGATTCTCAGTGAGACAGATTGCTTGGTACTCGAAATAAAGACTGGGACATTCTGAGGCTTCTTGTAGATGTAGCTGCAGTTCATCACCATTATTACCATCATACTCTMGACATGATTTACATTCATAGGTACATGGCCCTCTCTTCTATGCGGTTCTTTTTATGAGAAAAAGAACAAAAAGCACACTCACGCATCGAAGAAATTTAACGGATATTCAAAGTGACGTCTGAATTCATTGAAGTTGTTTTGAGGGATAGTGGAAAGTATGTAGCTGGGACTCTCCCGCCGTGAGCGTGACTATGATGTCCTCTGATGAACAACACAATGACGTCAAGAAAATCARCATTAGTTCATGGGCGACACTTTGGGCCAACTCATCATTACCGTGAGACATTTGGCGGCATTTGTTTGGTTTTAGTTATGGATAAAGTCAATGATATATTGTAATGTTTTGTTATTTTTGAATTGTTGTGCATGTATTCGTGATTGTGCGCTGTTTGAGTGTGCATATCAGTGAAACCCCCTACTGTTGTTCTATTGAAACCTGTTTTCCTACGACACGCTTGCTTCATTAGACCGTCTTCAAAAAGAAGTGTTTATTAATACCGACTTTGTTTCTTTCGTTTTCATGACCACCCTTTTACTACCTCTCGCAAATACACTTCTAGAAGGTTTTTATTAGARCAAGCAGACTTAATCGACAATCATATATTGCCATGGCAACGAACAAGCGATACCACAACAAAATAAATAAATAAATAATTAGGTAAGACCACAAAAGACCCATTTGGTGCGGTGCACTTAACGGCTGCGCGGTCGTTTGATCGGTTTCGTTCTAATGGCCTAAAATACTTGATTCAAATCATAACCAAACACTAGTGACCGGAACTGCACATCTGTCTATCAGTTTAATTGATTATCAAACCTTTCGTTTTGGATAGGATTATAATTTAGGTAACCCCATTCGTAATGGCAACACTATAAGGACACTACAAACTCAATATTTTCTCTGGTTTGGAATGCYAGAAAACTTTTCTCATGCGGAGTTTTTATCATTGCTACTTTGATCTACCAACATTCGTGTTTTTGTATGCACATAGAGATGCTTCAGTCAGTTATKTGGTGGAGGGGTATAGCGGTGCCTTCTTGCACCTATCAATTTTTAACTGGCGCRGGCTGCTCCTGCGTGCGGAAGCACCCAGAGACCACATCTGTGGTCCATAGAAACCCAAAAGCTATTCAAAACAAATATATTGGCCTATAGATAGATTTTACTTCAGATTAGTTCGTGTAGGTATCATGGTAGGATCGGACAGACATCAAGTATTTATAGAAAGGAATTGAGGATTCTGCTATTGCGGATGGAAGCTGCTGTGGGGCTTAGTTATTGGCTTCCGGAAAGGAAGTTCATTGGTCAGTATACACAGTCTAAATTYGTCTGAAGACAAAGATCCGACGTTAAGTAAAGCGTGGGCTGAGTTGTAAGTCTTGTTAGATTTCATTTGCGTAAGACCGATATGGTTACTACAGTATGATTGTACGAGATGGTGTCGGTGGTGTCGAGATCTGAAGAGRCTTTTTTACGTTCTTGTTTTAAAGAAACCCGGCCTTGTCTTGTTGCACTTGGTACGCTTGTGTCGATCGCTTAACCCAAGGCTGAAGGTGGCATCTCTCTTGTAACAACTGTTTTGGCCAAACCTTATCCTGAGGGGGAAAAATAGGGTTTTTAGAAGCTGTATGAAATTCCAGCTCACTAAAAGAGGAGCGAGCATGACAGCATGTTTAGTTATCAATTACAGTACCGAAACAATTGGCAGTAAAAGTGAAATAAATAAATAGATAAATAAATATATCACATTTTGTCGGGTTTCGAGATGAAGTAACACACAGTGTTCAGTGTGACATAGTTCATATTAAACGTTTTGCGGAAAAGACAGATTTGGATTAAATTGAACTGTTTGCCAAATACGCCCCAGACTTTAGTGATTTAGCAAATTTTCATATATTGTTGGTTTTGAGTAAACGTAAACCCTGAAAAAAGTCGCAATAAAAACAATCTTAAAATTAAGCTGTACTCGGCTCAAGTGTGGAGTTGCATACTTTCTTCTGATGACAAAAAGGGAAGTTTAGGCTGGCATCGAAAATGTAATGAAACCACGGCGCTTTTATTGATGCTCTGTATTAGTACATTGAACATCCGGTGCCGGGAAAAAGACTTTATTATGATCRAAAATCAATTAGAATACACTAACAATAGCTGTCAATGGATAGGTAAACAAGAATCACGCTATTCTCGTTATTGTCCTGAGGTGCTTGCTAATCAAAATTCTTTCATTCTTAAGCATCTTTAGCTGCAAAAGGCTTTAAGAATCCAAATGAGCAGACGCTGTAATCTAGTTGTCCTGTTATCATGGCCCAAAGTCTTTCCAAACAAGCCTTACCCCTGCAACTTTTGTTTAATCGATGAGTTATATTGCTTTAATATGAGTGAATGCTAAAGTACGACTTTGAAAGAATGACCTCTTTAATGGACCTCTTTAATGGACCTGTTCAACTACCCAATGCCATCGGTCTATTTGAGCCAGTCATAAATTTGTTTGCAGTTCACTCTGACCAAGTACTCTTGTTCACAGATGATAGCAAGGTCGCATTCGTTTGAAATCTTGACTTTAAGACCTCAGTAACCCTTTAAGTAAAAGACTCGTCACGTTCTATTAAAAACAAACATAATTATACCCCTTTTCTTGAGTTTTATGACAGAAAAAGATCCAGTAGTTAAACGTTAATGAACCCTTAAGTCCCCAGGATAAATGAAGGCTAGTTTATATCCGGACTGCACTTTGTATTTGTGTCTTAAAAGCGAGTGATATGTGGATCAATCGACTAGAGATCGCATTGTATTTGTGTCCAACTGAGATGGCATTGAAGTCAATGTGTTAAATAGAATTCCACAAAGTAAAGAAGCTGTCAATCAAACAGGATAATGTGTCATTTACAGAGCTAGTCTAAATATAGCAGATAAACCTACTGTGCGCAAGTAATGTCAGTGATGTGTGCRTCCTTGGTTGAACAGAAAATCATACATTCTAATATCAAGTTTTCACTTTATTCAGATATTATTGAAGAAGGAAGAACAACCTTTCTCAGCCGCAACAGTCGATGAATGAAAAGTTATYGTAAACAGGACAAACAGCGCATTTCCATTTTTCTCTCGTGGGGTATCACATCACCTCGAGTCTCAATAGCTTTTAAACTACGATCTAAATAATGTGATAGAATTTGAAAGCTGCGTGGCTGTTGTGGACGGATTTGAACCTGTGTTCATATGTGTTGGGATACTTGATTCAAATCCCAGGAGGTCAACGTCACTTAATCGAGTTTAAATGTGGCACACGATTGGATTGTAAAGGAGACAAGCTTTAGGGAATTTCTGCTTGATTATTATGTCTATACACATAACTCAGTTAGAAACACAGGGGTATAAATCTCGTACTGCTACAAAACCGGGACGATCGAGAAGCGAAGCCAGGCTCGAGGTACACGAAGGGAAACCGGTTAATCGTATTACTAACGCCAGTACAACCGATGTGGAACCGACGGAGGCGCGCTCTCGTGGAAAGACAAMAACAATCTTAAAATCGAGTGAGAAGAGTATAAGAATTACCAGAATTAGCAGCGGCCATGGTACAAGTGGTCATTTTGAAGGCACGCGCCGTTCAGCGGCTAAGACTGAGCATGTTTCATCTACATTACATTTCGTAGCTAGTCCTAAACCTAAGCGAGCCAGTAAAGATAATGTTMATTCGATTTCTGAACAATCTAGCAATGCTGTGTTTGGAATTCAAAAATATGTGATGGCGGATTGCGATCGAAACACGCTTGTCTCTTGCATACCAGGGATACCACAGGAGGGAGAAGATGAACAGCCCGTACGAAAAGATCCCACGGAAAACAAACCCCTTCCACCATTTTCGATGCCTTCTCGCCAAAGACATAAATTCGCCTATTTGAGCAGTGTATCGACCAGCTCCCAGACGGGACGGACAGAGCCTTGCCACAATATCGATGTTAGTTCGTATAAACAGCCTACGAGTAAACAGCCGCAGGAAGGGTTGCGTGTCAAAGGGCAATCGGGATCGAAAATCCARAGGAATGCAGACGTTGAGTGTTATCCGAATAAGACGGATCGTTCCCATCGCCACAGCAAGCCGAAAAGCCGCGAAGATAATGGAAAGAGCGACTGCCACTCTCTTGTGGCAGAATYACAACAAACGGAGGATCCAAATAAAGTGAGGGTACAAACTCAAGAACGTCAGACTGAGAATATTACAACCGAATGCAGTGATACGGGTATGAGCCACTACGATAAAAAGGAACAGTTTTCGCGTCAAGCGCATTGTAACCAACTTGGTACAGCTTCGAATCAAACATTTACTGACTCGGACAGTGGTGATCTCTCGAGTTCTTCAGATAATGATGGGTGCCCATCGTCTGCTGGTCATCCGAGAGGCCATTCGAATTCTCCGAAGCGTAGAAAACGCGTAAAGAGAAAGAGTTCTGCTAAATCTGTAGGTTCGAGTATGTATGGTGATGATAACACGACTGATGGAGAGTCGGCGACAGATACTCTTACTAGAGTGCACGATCGTCGATCACGTAGAAAAGAGGATGAAAATAATAACAATTCTGCAGCAAGACAAATTAATACTGCTAGAGGGAAAACTGMGGCATCCGGAACTTCGATAACTACGGTAAAAGGAGCTCAGTTTAGGTCAAGTAGTCTTACTTCTGTTAGCTCGGTAGAAGGTGGTAGGGGAAGATCTGCAACATCATCTCCTCTCCTTACCCCAAGGGGTACCACTTTGGTAAAGAAAATCCAGATTCAGTCATTCTCTGCTACTTGTACGGGATTCAATAAGGAAAACAAAGAGAACTTGATCAAGAGGAGGGCATCTGCAGAGGAACATTTCTATGACAGAACCAAAGAAAAGACAATCATTCCAGACCATTCAAGGTCAATAAGTAGTTCGTATGGTAGTCTAGAAAAAAACACTTCTCGATCAGAGACACCAGTTTCAAAAGGAAGGCCTTTTGCCTTAAGGAATAAACCATTTCAATTAAGAAGAAGCTCTTCCAAGGAAAGTCCATACACCAGTGAAGCAGAGAGTATTGGCTCACCTTTTGCTGCAAAAGAAGAAACTGATACTCTTTCTAGTATCAATATTCCAGAATTTACAGATAAGCCAAGTAGAATTCTTTCACCTGTTTCATCAGAGCCTAAGGAAGTATCTATATCTTCATCTATTCATCCAACTTCACCTGATTTCCATATTGAGTCTCAATATTCTGTCTCTGGTGTACATGACAATGTTTTTAGTAGTCCTTTTGATCAGTCTACATCAACTCACAGTAGTAATGGGAGTATTTTACCAGGTCTTGAAGCTTCAACAGAAGAAAGATCTTCTCCATTGCTAGAAACAACACCATTGAGCATAGGAGAATCAACTCAGGCAATACCAATACCAGGATCTTCTGTACCTGATGACACAAGTGAATGGATGTCACAATCATATCCTCCTTTGCAAACTTATCCCTTTGACTCAGATTCATATGTTGGTGGACCGTATGGGTATAGAGCCTTGTCTATTGTCAGCGAACAGGAAGAAATGGATGGTGTTCAACCAACAAACAATGAAAGCTTACTCCAAAACACTTATTCTAAAAGTAAAGATAATAACACAGTTAAACATTATTGGTCATCAAATCAGACAGAAAGAGAAAGTGGTAAAAGTGGACGGATAAAATCAAATGAAATAGAGGAAGTGTCAGCTGTGCGTAGACCTTCCTACATCAGAGCCCAACAAAATGTGGAAAGCTTTGCACTTTTTCGGTCATTTGATGATGAAGGACCATCTCTTCCAAGAGAAACCACTTTGACAAAKGATTCTTACCCTTTGCAACATGACTCTAAGGAGGAACACTATGATCCCAAGGAAGTTTTGAAATCATTTAGTGGTTCTGACTTGGAAGCTCATGATGGTCTACATTCATTTAAAAAAGATGGTGATTTGATCACTTTTGATGATGAACATAGAGCAAAGAATAGCGCTCRTCATGAATCTTCAGAAGAACCTGTGGTAAAGAAGAGAAAGAAAAAAATAGCTAGACMAAAAATACCAACTATACTCAACATAGATGAAAGCACAGGTTTAGAAAAAGAGCATTATGATGATGATGACAATCATCGACCTATAATGATCAAAGCCAGGGAAGAAACTATGGGTCAAGATTCAATGGATGAAAAATGTATGGATACCAGTAACTTGTCAAAGGATTCCAAGAGTGAAGGTATGTACTATATCAAGCATTATTGTGCTAGTATTTTTTTGTTTCCAGTTGTTTTCTTGATTTTAAATTTTTTTCTCTTGCATCTGCTATCTTCTATAAAAGTTCTGTCTTAGGATTTTCTTCTGTTTGAAAACCTATTTTTTTGTTTCAATATATATGTGTATGCAACTTGTATAGAAAAAAATGGCAKGCTGGTTCATAGTTCTATTGATTACCGTACTGTAACTTCATCTTATACTTCTAAAACAATTTACAAAGTAACATTTCATTATAAAGGAGCCTGTACATTAATTTAATGCCCTTTAAAAATTAAGCTTCCATTCTTATGTGTGTGGTATGTGATAGGAAACTRCCCTTGCAATCAAAGCAATTCATCACCTAATTTTACACTAACCAATTTAAATATAACCTMTTTTCATTAATTTCTTCAAATCCTTATTTAAATCATTTTTCGAAAGCTTTACTTGCTGCCTCCTAATAATTTTTCAATTAAGTAATTCAATTAACACCTTATGAACAAGATTGAAAATGATATAAATTTAAGGATGGATGTAGCTAAAAGATCTTGAATATTTCAATTTTTCTATTTTTGTATCACCAAAAAAATAATTGAAAGACCATTCTTATAACCTAGTTTAAATTGAAGAAAAATCATCTATAAAGTGTTATGTTGTATTTATATAAGTCAGACAGTTTAMATTTATTTAATATGAGTCATATATTCATTGTTTACATATTTGTTAGCGAATATTAATGATAAACATAGTGGGGAGTAATAGTTGTTTTTAAAAATCAATTTACATAATTCATGATCAACTACTACCTTGTGTGACCTGACCATAACAAATGTAATTGAGATTTAATTTAAATTTGCATTCTGGCTTCAAAGAAATGAGCTACTTTTCAGGATTTTCTTACTATCCTTTAAAGACATAAGGTAGGCTGCCAGCAAAATGCTGTACAATTATTTGTTCTGAGTATAATTGAATTTTATTCTATGTACTAGTTTCTTATTATCATTCATGAATGGATTTGATTTTTCATGTTAGATTATATTGATCAACATTTAATTTGTATTTCATTCTGTTTTCCATATTTTACTCTGAAGTAATAACTTGGTCTAACATTGTCATTGTTGCAGTTTAACCTCTGTTCATTTGCTGTTTGAGTAATAAATGATGTTGTATGCAGACAGCTACTCTGCCAGAGTCAACATCTTTAAATGCTAGATACATACAGCTTCCTTTGCTTGTATTAGCTGTTATCCACAAATGAAATTTTATACCTTCCAAAACAATTTTATTCAAAAATGGACAGATTTGTTGTTCTGTTTTTACTGTTTTCTCTTGCTAGGGTTTTAAGTTTTTAGAATCGAAAGGTAATGGAAAAATGTTTTTGGAAATTATTTAAAAACCATAGTAATTTGCCAAGGGCAACAAAATGCAAAGTACCTTTTTCGTGGTTTCTAAACCATTTAAATGATCTTATTAAGTGGTTTTCAGAATTTTATGACAATATATATCTTCAAGCTGATACTAGGCTAAATGTTTACTTCATTAGGATTAATGCTTACTGTTTTAGATATTTTTCCCATATTGAGTGTTTGAGTCAWTTTTTTTCTGTAAAACAATGAAAAACAAACTTTACCAACTGGCTTGTCATATTTGAAGACATTAAGTTTCAACCATAACACAATGGCAATTTATCTGTCTTTCCGTTGTCAGTTTTGACATAAAACATCTTTGTTCATTTAACAATTAGTCTACACCTTAGGAAAAAATACCATTGTTCTGTAAAAAATATTTTAGGATATCTTTTAGAATGGAGTTGTTCAAACACTATGTACATGTAGTGAAAGAAACTAGGTAAGTTTGAGCTTGAATAATCTGAAAAGTAATATTACATAAAAGATCATTTACATACTGAAAAAAATCCATATATCTCAAAGAAATTACAACTTAGAGTGATCTTGGATGAAATTATACACATTACATTGTTAATATTATTTTGAATGTTGACAACTGGACCTAATTCTTTTTGATGTTCTTTTTGAATTTAAGATCATGTTTGTTTTGTGTTAATTTAAATGTTCCTTGTGCTCTCTTTTTATATTTAATGCACTATACAGCACGCCTGCAGCTGTCAATGTTAAACCACATTTTGTTTATATACTATTAATAAATTGTTCAGGAAATTCCTATTTTTTATAATATTTTCAGAATAAAACATATTTTAGTAATTTGTTCAAACATAAAGTATTCCTTTTTTCAAAACACTGAGTTGTTGAGCTTATGTTTATTATTTATTGAGTTTTTATATCAAAATAGCTTCCTAAGATATATACATTGTTTATAATAAAACAAAATAATTATCATTTTCTAATAATAATATAACGAGAAAGGGTTAATAAAAATAAAGAAAATAAACACAGAAATAAATAAACTGCATTGATCAAGCTTTACTAAAGCTGTTTTGAATTTTAACAACATTTGGCAACCRTGGCATATAGCTAGTTTTACATACACAGTCTTTGTCTAAGGTTTACATTTTTCATTTATTAAAAAAAAACTACTAATAAGAAAATAGCGTTTTAAAAAAAAGAAGAGCAATCATATTGTATATTATAATTATCTGTGTTTAAAGAGTAAATATGGAAAATCACTGTAGGTGCCAGTAATTTAATATATGCCTTAATGTSCTTTCTAATGTTTACATTCTATTAATAAGCTCCAAGTATATTTTTAGAAGTACAGTGACAATTCTATAATAATACTTTCGCTTTTTACACCTGCATTCCATATTTTAATATWAGTACTAATAGGGTATATACTGTGCTTAAGACTCTGCTTATGCAAAGAATATGCCTGTGTTTCATTTTTAGTAAATAAATAGTAAATATGATTCATAATCGATAATAATTATTAATACTACAATACTGTCTTATACATTTTGAAAATATATAGCAGATCTAAAACATTRTTTGAAAAATATATTACTAATTAATAGACTCCAGAACTGTGATTGTTCATCAAATATGTAAATCAAGTTCAAGTTTATACTAAAAATAAGGTCGTATTAATATCAATATTGATACTAAAGTATTYATTAGGATAAACAAACAAAAAAATCAAAGATCATATTCTAAAAGTGTCTTWAAAATTTTTTCCGATATTTTATATTGACAATATTGAGGTAAAAATAATTTTGATGCATTATAAATATATATTACAAAAGAAATCTTTATGTATTTTATCTCTTTTGATTGAGAATAATATTGAAATTTTTGATTTCCTAATTACTGTAAAGCCAACAATAATTTAGTTCCATAGGCCCTAATAATTAACAATTATACCATTATAGGTTATTAGCAATCATTAATAATCAATAATTAACTATTGATCAATCTTTATGGGTTGTTAAGAACTACAATTTGTACAATACTATAAATTGTAAATTCATAAACATAAGATCTTGGTTAGTTCGTTGGCTTATTCAACGTTAATATAAGCTACATATTTGAACTGACAATTACTCACATTGATGAGAACATTTGTGTCATCCTTGCCCATAATTTGGTTTCTTAGACCAACTATGATTATCTTTTTTAATGATTCATTTAAGAATGAAATTTTAAAAAATTCTATTATTCACCTTTTCATTCAATATTAGTTTTAAGCTTAATATTAGATATATTATTTTTAGTTATGTTTACATAATAAAATTTATTTTTAAACCATTTTGTAGAAATCCAATATGAACATCAAAAAACCTTTTCCGTTTAGGTATGTTTTTTCTTTCTTGAAAACCTCCTGTAGTTAAGTTTCTTTGTTTGCGCTTCATTCACTTAACGTGTCTTCTAAAGCGCAACCAAGAAGAAAAGAAAAAAAGAAAGGCATCATGATAAAGGGAATGATATACGGTGTGAAATGAGAAAACCCATTATGGCTAAGCGGAAAAGGTCTTAGTATATGTTTATGAAATACTTTGAAAATTACTAGTTTAGATTATTTACGACTGATTTATATTTCCTTTTTTCCATGAAATTGAGTTTAGAATTTGATATGATCGAAGCTTCAAAACGAAATACTCTGGTAGCTATTGATAGTGATGACGGGAGTACTCCAAAAGCAACTCACTCACCTGCTTCTGAACCAGAAGAAAGTTACCTGTTAAATCAAGAAAAACAGTCTGGAAGCCGAGAAAAGCAATCTCCATCCACTGGAGCGCATTTTGCGCCGTCTCTTTCCCTACCTCAGATCACGACCGATCTTTACGTCGATCAAGATGACAACTCCTCACATATCCCATTGAAAAAAGTCGACACACTGTATGACTTGAGTGAAGAGGAGTCTCGAGGGATGGGACTTATATATGTTGACCAGGAAGCTCAAGACACAAAGAGTGTGGAAAGKTTTGGCTCTCAGAGTGACGGGATTTCTCCTAACCAAAGTCAATCAAATCTTGATAATTACTCTTTAACTACTAGTGGGTTTAGCGAGATAGTTGAAGATTTTTCGGACAGCTGTGAGATTCCTGTCCAAAGGGCTGATATGGTATTAGGAGTGGGAAAAGCGAGCACTGATGGCTGGCGGTCACATAGCGATCCCAGTGGGAGAACAAACGGTGCAGGGGCACCATTAAGTGAGACAATTGCAGAAGCTGTTGAGCTCAATTCGTACAGAAACAGTAACAGTGCACCCGACCTCATCACTGAAAAACTAAAGAAAGAAGCTGCCATTTTATCGCAAAGAATAAACTCCGGCAAAGAGAGACCTACTATATCAAGGACTAGATCGAGTCCTTCATCTTTTCCTAAGCCTTCGATCCAGGAAAGTGATCAAACGCGGAATAAACATTTAGAAAGCAAGGATGATTCGCAACTAAAACTAAGTCCTGATACCATCTTTGATATGGATGGTGGTAAGTCATCTTTGAAAGTACACTCTGCACCTTCCACGCCTACATCTTCTAGGAAGCAGCTATACTCCAATACCTTCTCAGCGGAAAAGACGCAAATGAAGTTAGCCAAACTGGCAGCCATGGAACCGATTTACGAAACTCCTCTTACAGAACTGATCAAACCACTTCCAGAACCGGTCAAACTGGAACGTAAATGTGGTGCAAGTCCAGCATTCGAGGAACCTGAACGACCACCTGCTACAGGAGTGCAAGAGAGTAAACCACAGGACAAACTGCAGCCCAAACCCAAGTCTAAACACGTAAGTTTTTTGTTGAATTGTTACGTCACTCATACGTGTTATTGCGTCACTGCTTTAAAATTAGCGCGCGCAGGTTGCGGGAAAAATGATTTAGGCCTGGATCAGATGTCAAGCTTTTATGCATCCTTGGGCGTTTCCGAAGTTCAGCAGAAGAATAGTAACGACTTCGACTTGTGCATAGGATTGTGGGGTTGAAATTGGAAACGCGTTTAAAAGGCTCTTGCATCTAGTGTCCTAGGGAATCCCGCCCCTGATTACGAGGTCTCTCATCTTAAATACAGTACAAAAAAAGATCGACGGCTGACACAACAATGTACCTTTTGATAACAGCATTAGCGCGTAAAACGAGTTTGATGCAAACGCAAAGAGAAATTTGAACCATCAATGCTTGCGTGCTATGAGCATCGAAAGCACGATGGTGTCCGCTGCCCCCCACCCCACACACACACACACAAAGAATCCTTAACTTAAACCGATCTTTCGGATGTTTGAGATACGTTAATGAAGCTTGTTACCAAATTAAACGCCAATCAATTAACCTGCCGCTGAAGATCCCTTTTGAAGGTATTTAATGACCTTTTAGGAGTAGGTCCTACGTTAACATCACATTTACAGCAGAGCAGATTTCGTATGACTGTAAGAAACTCACAGTACGATTAGAAAGTGACTTTCAGCACTCTGATTGGATGAACAGTAACCTTACACGCTGATTGGTTCAACGAGTGCCATGATAGTGACCCCACCATTATTGTTTCATAGTACTGTATAGTACTTTTATAGAACTGTTCAAGAGATTTCTGAAAACGAGCACATCTAGCATTCAATGGTCCTAAAGGGGGTCCTTAAAGCATTCCACAGCTCAACCCTCGGTTAATAGGGGAATTTCACGGAAGGCCTCTTTGGCTCAGAAACAATGCAATGTTTTTGCACAACAAGATGTTTATTTCGCTAAGGATAACACTCCTCTTGTTTGTCCTACACAAGCTTGAATGTCGTAAAAGCCCTCTATTTCCAGTCCGGGTAAATTTGGGGAACATTCCATGCTATTAATTCCATACTTATACTCATTAACTTGAATTCGATTTTATCACATCTTTTTTTTTTTTTTTTTTTTTCTTTTCTCCAAGTTAGTAATATCAAGAATTCCCAGTTCCCATTTCACCCTTTCCGGGTCCTCTGCGTTTAGAATTATATGGATTTCGAAAATGAAAAACCTTGAAATATCGTCCCTATCATAGCTTAAATACAAAACATTAATTTTAGGCTTCATTTTAATAGCCGTAAAGTAAACGCAAAGACAAAAACAAGATAGCTATCAAATTATACAACTCGTTTATCAGGGATTTTAATCAACAAAATGGAATGTTAATATTTGTTCTCTTTATCACCTCAGACACGCCGCAGACACGCTAGAAGTGGTGGTATCTTCCATGTATATAGTATAATAACTCAATTATAAACACCCTAGGCTCAAGGCCCATATTTGTCAAAGTAATTCTGCACACTGTACTTGTGCGTTTGACATATTTCATGTTTTGGGGAGATAGTATTGGGTGGTTTTTCAATGCGCAAATAAATCACTTGGTATTACCGATAATAGATTAATCCTTCAATGTTCTCACTACGAGCATGCTAGTAGCTCATTGATATACTTCTAAACCTGACTAATTTGAATAAGAAAAGAACTATCGTAGTTTGACATCTTGACATCTTGGTCTATTCATGTGGGAAATCCCTATTACCATTTTTTATAATATGAGGTGAGTTATGGAATAAAAGATGCTGAGCTGATTTCAAGAGAACATGGAACTAGACTTTCTTGAATGGTGAATATCTGTCTGTATTTCATTTAGATTCTTTCCGCTTTTATTTATTCATTTTATAACCTAATTTCATCATCCGTTTTTAGTTTAGTGATATATTTATTTCAAACATTTTGTGGAAGTGTTGTATTCTCAATTGTTCATCAAAATATGTTTGTTTGATTGACTTGATTATTGAATTACGATCTCGCTCAAGGTCTGTTTTCACTTCTTTCTTACTCGATTTCCCTCTAGTATTTCATTTGATATTGGCCTCAAACCATGGCTATAACATGGCTGATTTATTGATGTCGTCTGTATGAAGTAGGCGCGAAAGAGCCTTCAAAGTAAACGAGGAGAAAAACAGTGATCAGGAGAAAAACAGCGATCAGGAGAAAAAGATTAAAAATTGCTTAGTGAAATTGTCTTTAATTAATTGTATTTATTTCCTTCCTCGTTTTTGTCTTTGGGTTTTCATCTTATTTTTATTTCTTTATTTGCCACATCTTTATAGTTAAAAAAATATAGTTCCAAGGTTACAATTTGAATCGTTTCGTGATCATTTAGATTAAAGCGTGTGTCACTTTATATAATGCTATGCGTTGCAAATTGTTATTCATCGTTTTGTTTTGATAATATTTTAACCAGCCGTCATTACAGGGTTGGAAGTAACCCTGTTACTGTAGATATATATATATTTGTTATATTCGTATTATATTTGTGTAAAAAACATTGAATTCAGCTTTAAGGGCTTAAGGATATAGATAAGGGTTTTTATGGACGACTGTTATGATGTTGTCACGATATCCTTATCTGTAAATTTATTATTATTTATTACTGAAGATAATTTTCAGGGCCACTAGAAAATTATCTTGTAGTTAATTGTTGGTCATTTCAATAATATATTATTATTATTATATTAATAAATACTAATAATAGTTTATCATCTTATGTATTTAGCGCAATTTTTCAAAAACCTTGCCTAATAGCCCAATAGTTATCATAATAAAAATAAATTCCTTTCTCATTCAAAAAAATAATAATTACATGATAATTTAGTTTTTCTATTTCATCTTGTAGGACATAAAAAGACATGTTCTTCAAAACTTGCTAGAGACAGAGCAGTCTTACGTGCAGAACCTCCAATACCTCGTAACGGTGAGTATATTAACAAGAACAATGGGTTTGGATAATTACCGGCAAGAGGCGCACACGAGACAGGTCAACCCATTGCTATTAATAAAACTGGTTTTAAAAATAACCCCAGACTTTTGTTCCCATGCCATAACTGTTTTATCCCCAGCTGATTCGTATTAGGTGACTTCCTTTTGTATTAGAGAGCTTTAGTCTTAACAATTTAGACTATTCGACTGATGCAGGGGATATGCACCCATATAGTTCTACATTATGCACATTTATAGAAAAGCTGAAGCTAAGAAAGCTGAAGACAATCACAAATAATCATACAGTTAATTCCTTTGGTCCCTGAATGACCTTCCTGTCGGTATTCATAGCTTACATTCCTCCATACGAGGATACCCCAAGGTCACTCTTCTTATGATGGTTTTATGTTACTTGTGTAGCAAGGAGGAGGGGGAGGGGGGAGGGAGGGTACGGTACCTTATCCATGGTTGCGTTATGGTGGTGAACCAGAGAAATGGGCTACTGAGTTGGAGTATATCATGGTAGAAGTAAAAGGGGCAAAAATACCCGAGGGGGAGGAGGAAGGGATGGGTCTATGTTACCAATCACTCTTCTTCTTTGAACACTATCAGACGGAAAGGATTTTGAGTTTCCTCCAGTTTTTATCATGTTTGGTTATCTGGTTGACAGGCATATTACAAACCATTGAAAAAACCTGAGAACGTGAATATCGTAGATCCAGCTCAAGTGGATGAGATGTTTTACCAAATATCAGACATTCTTCTTTGTCACGAGTTTTTCTTGGAGCAGTTGGAATCACGCGTTGATGACTGGCACGACAAACAGAAGATTGGTGACATTCTAGTAGCATCGGTAATAATCTTTTGAAAAATGAAAATTACCTTTGGTATATCCGGAAGCCGTGTTTGGGTCGGTCCCTATAGAGGCTTTGCACCATCAACATCATCGTGATGGCAGTCTTGACAGGACGATCTAATCTGGTTTACGTGAGAAAATATTTAGTTTTCCAGAGGGAACTCATAGACTATTTTTGTGCCTACTGTCATGGCTGCCATCACGTGATCGTGCAAAGCCTACATTGAAAATCGCTTCCCGTGCCATTTGTCAGTTTTGGGTAGCCTGTGGTATATTGATTTGCTTTCCTTTGGTTCGCGTGTGACAAGTTGCCGTCACGTTTGCTTTGTGAAGCCCGAGACAAGGTCAGAGAGTGAGAAAAATTAAACGTGGATTATATTTTTACCACCGCGCGCGGCGTTCTTATCGGAGCTAGATGGTGTTCTAAGTATCAAATAACTAATTGAATCTATTAGGTATCAAATGAATGATAATTTATTATTGATATTTTTGCCATTTAGTTTACCAAATGCTTCCTAATGGACGCATACAGTGCATTTATCAGCCATTTTCTGCATGCCAGAGCTGCCGTTAGAATCGCAACTGTTTCGCGGCCAGGATTCCAGAGATTTATCGAGGTCAGTCCATCAGTACACCTTGCACACAAACAAACATAATAGTGTGCAATAATATAATGTACTCTTGATGTCTGTAAAAACAATTAATATACAAATAACTTGCTCAAATGTTATTGAAAACCATTATGATTTTGTTCTCCAGCAATGTAGTAGAGAACACAAAGAAAAGCTTACCTTACAAGATTTGATGATCATGCCTGTACAAAGAATACCTCGATATGTTCTGATACTGAAGGTAATCTGTGCGGTTCAAACATTTTTCATACCATTCTGAATGAATTTATTCAGATGGAGAATAATTTTTATGAAGACTGTTTTAAGAAATTGTAGTCGTATTAAAGTTAGTTGTGCCAATTATTTGCCAATTTATCAAGCATTGGTAAGGGCTCGGATTTGCAGTGCACTTTAACGACAGACGCACTTTTAGAATACACCCTTTCCCCTCTCCACCCGTCCCTCTCCACCCATCCCTCGCATCCCTCTCCTGGTAAGAATGAAAATAAATTCTTAAACGTATCAGATATTCCTGACGTTTAATGTTCCGTCCCATTTCGTTCCATAGGACATGATCAAACATACGACACAGGACCACCCTGATTATGGTAATTTATTACTCGCGCTGGGCGAAATCAAAACTCTTGCTGATCGAATGAACAAAGGAGAGAAAGAAGTCAACGAAGCTGAAATTGAAGCAGATCGGCTGCGAGATATTGAAGCTTCTATCGAAGGAATTACAGAGGTTGGTTTTAACGTATTGACCAGCTATGCTATATATGCTATATATATATAAGTCACGCATTCTTAGATGTATTTACCACAGACTGCAGCGTACAAATTGTCGCAGTGTTTTGACGCGCAGGATGCGCACCTTGAGGACGAGCACAAGAATGAAATATGAGCGCGCGCAGTGAGTATCTATCATGCAATATGCTGCGGTACTGACAAGTAAGTTTGGCTGACCACATCACGTATTCCACAGAAAAACCTTTAAAGTAATGAACCATCATGCGCAACTGAATATTTATGTGATGATCGTATTGAACATGGTTATTTTGTTTGTTACAGTTAGTCGTGCCCAACCGTCGATTCCTGAGAAAAGACTTGGCTGCTGAAGTGGTAAGTATCTTTTCATAGATGAATGTAGTAGCTTGTCCAGTATGTGATAACATAATGAACATGATGATGCTCTTTGTGTTCCAGAGGGGCTCAATTACAAAGAAAGATCGATGTTTATTCTTGTTCACTGACCTTTTGGTCTGTGCGTCCGTTAAGCGTAAACCTAACGCGCTACGAAGAGGATCACTAAGTCTGTAAGTTATACTTTTACTATAAGGCGATCCCTTTACGACATTCTATACCTTCAGTATTTTATATTCCTTGTTTTCCGCCTCAGCTGCGCTTTTAATGCGGCATGTTTTTTCCAACTATTAAACTTTATGATTGATATTTAGGTTTTCTGGTCAATCAGGCAGCGAGTTTAACAAGCACAAATTACTATGGAAAATGCCGTTAGAATACGTCGAACTCGTGAAATGTAAGTACACGATGACGAAAAACTATTGATGTGCTACAAAATCAATCGATAAATGTTCGTTGCTACAAACAGTAATTAATTTCATGAGGCCTGGTTTTCAGCTTAAGCAAAATGCGCGACTCATGCAGGTCTTCCGTCTTTGCAGTTGGAAGGAAATACGATTGCTCATCTCTTGAAACATTACATATTCGGCCACCAGAATGCCGCCTTGTGCTGCATGTGAAAACCAACCTTAATATTTAGCATTTTYCCCTAATGATTACTGTTTCTTTCGTAGCTTCCCCAGAGTTACAGCGACGCAACAGCCTGGAGAAACAGATAGAGAAACTCGAAAATGATATGTCTGTATTGAGTCAAATCAGCTCACTAACAGACTCACTTAATGTCAGTCATCAGGTACGAATTATAACAAACTTTCATTGTACTTCAGTAAAACAAGGGTGCTGAACTTGTTGATCACTTTTTGTTGGATGGGAGTGCTGAGCCTTGGTACCATAGGTTTTCCATCAAACGGAATGTGCTTCAATCTCCCCTTCCTCCCTTCAACAAACCAGAATATAAGAAACGTATAATAAATTCTTGCTTTAAAAAGATCAGGCTTATATAGCCAGCATTGCAAGGCTTGTACACAGATGAAGCGGTTCGCGGTAATCATTCATGTTTTGATTGTTGCTGTTTCGTCGTTGTTCTTTCTGCTGTGGCTGCTCTCTTGTTGATGTTCTTCTTTCTGCCGTTGTTATCGCTATTGTTGTTGTGTAGGTGCAGTGTTAACACAGCACGTCCACTTGTATCTTATCTTCCTATGGTTGTTTTATTCAGGCATTGGATGCGTCAATACGTGAACTAATGAACGAGGTCAGTAGACAAATCGCTGAAAAGCAAATCCCGATGCACCAGTCTCTAAATACAAGAATTGAACTACAAGCGCAAACAGAGTAAGTGGTTAGCACGTATCTTAGGGTACCTCCAAGATACGCGCAGTCTTAACCATTATCCACTTCATTTATTCACAGAGATGGTCTAGAAAATTTTGTATTTTTATTCCTGGATGTTGAAATTAAAAACACCTGGGAAGCTTACTTCGAAAACGCAAAGCAAAAACTAGGTGAGTTTCTTCAGGTATCAAGTGTCAAGCCTCGTGTAGAGCAGATCTTATATGATTGCTAAGAACTCATGTGACGTTGCCATGTCCTGACACTCCTATCACATGGGCAGTGAACTCGCCAGACGTGATTGGTTCAAGACATATCGCCATTTTTGTTTCATTGCCGTGCCATAGGTCTGAAAAGTAATATGGAATCTACTTTAACTTAATTAAAGGCTTTATAAGAAGGTATTTTATTGCTCTGTTTTTTAGCGTATGCCAAAGACACCTTCCCACCAGAGTTTCAGTGCCCAATACCTATTACTAAAACCAGGAGTGGTATGCAGGTAGGTCTGTAGGTGTAGGTGATGGGCCGAATACTTGCAACATGCTCAGTGTTTGCTATGATGATGATATCAAGACGGTACTAAAAATGATGGATTCTGCAGTTTGGGTTCCCTGTTTGTTGTCACATACTAAATATGAAGTACTAAAATGTGATTGATTGTTTATAGTTCACCTGTTCATCGCCCAGTCAAGTACCTCACATGTTGGACCGTGGTAATCACTGTGGATCAGGCGACGTCTGGGTTTGTAATAGCGATGGTTATGTTGGCCAGGTCTGCATTCTTTCCATGGGGGGACAAATCCAGGTAACATAAAGATATGATAAGTCTATTCACGTACGAGCCAAGCGCGATGATAATACTACACTTCAGCTGTAGGTGACGGGGCAAGCGTGTCTAAATAAAGTCATACCTATCTACCTACTTTTAGTGGTAAATCTAGTTTGCTTCACTAATTGTTTTTATTTTCTATTTACCAGCCAATCGCTTCTTTATCAGTTTGCTCATCTCGTATTCTCTGCATCTCACCCGTCCCTGGTACTAAACTAGTTGGCCTTGAGAACGCTCATCAGGATGACTCCAAGTCAGACTCGCGCTCCATAGGCAACAATGGTGACAGCGGCTTCAAAGTATCTGGACAAAAACTTTCCACTGGGTACTCCAGTGATGACGAACGTAACGCGCAAACCATCATGGCTTTCGATAGCAGCTCTGATGATGAAGAAGGCATGAACAATGATGGATTCCTCGGAAGTAAGTTTGGTCGCAATTCCCCGATCTACGACGGACGACTGAGTCCCGAGGGAAGTAGCCTAGGGACGATTGACGGAGAGATGGACAGCAGCCATGAGGAGTCTGACATAGATGAAAGTGAAGACGAGGAAGCAAAAGCCAAAGCAAGTCAAAGACACTCTAAGAGAAGAGACAGTGCAAGAACCACAGGATCGGTGACTAGTGCCGAAGATAAACTAAGTTTAAGTGACATTGTACCTTACGATACTGAAGAAGGCTCGACAGTATGGTTGGGAACAGAAGATGGAAGGTATCTTTAGTAATCTTTCCTCAAGACGCATTCTGCATCGCATATACAACGAAATATGGCGACCAATTTAATAACTTTTTTTTGCACTGACTAAGTGACTAGCCTCTCATACATGTGAATACGCTTTTATGTTTCCACGTGAACATGAGGCTAATTAGTGGCTAGTCAGTGCAGAACAATAGTTATTTAAATTGGTCGCCATATTTCGATTTGGTGTACACGTATTGAGGGTTGTAATGATAAAAGTCATACTGATCGATCAATTGATTGACAATACTACACTTATAATAACTTTGATCTACGTTGTTGCAGTATATTTGTGTATACAACACTCGATGCTCATCAGAAAAAGAACAAGATGAAAATCCAGCATCAAGCTTCTGTTCAATGTATTCTGTAAGTATTGATCTTTTACAGCACACCTAGAAAGAGAGTTTTTCCAACAAGATTTGATCATAGTTAAATACTCATTCAAGCCTTACTGATAGGCTAATACTCAAGGGAGTGTCACGTGATCTAAAATAACCAATTGTTCGCATTGTAGTGCGAATGGAGATATAAAGTTAACCCTATCGAGAATATCTCCTAAGATCGAATTGGAATTGGAAGTTAATTTTTACGGAGGGAGGAAAACCGGAGAACCCGGGGAAAAACCCTCGAAGCACAGGAGAGAACCAAGGAATCAACTACTAATTAAACCCGGAGTCGCATTGGCGGTGAGAGGCGACACATTACCAGCGCACAACACATTACCAACGCATTACCAGCTTCCCAAAATAGGGAAAAAGAAGATTGGGTTGTGGCATGTACGATAGAGAAACCTTCCTTATTTTTACTGTACCTATCCTCTTCCTTCACTCAAGCTTTCTGATCATACTTTACAGATATGTGGACAACCAAGTGTTTGTGTCATTAGGAAATGGAGATCTTTGTATATACCGACGTCAGCCAGGTATGTTACACTACTTGCCACGTGTTATCTCGAACTACACATGGCCTCCTCGGATCTGCTGGGCCTGCACATCGCATATTAATGGCCAACATAAAGTATCTATTAAAATATTGTTGTTTTCATTATAGGTTCAGCTTGGGAAGTCGGAGCACCCATTACCCTTCAAGTGGGTGCCTCCGCACCTGTTTCGTGTATGACCGCTGTACATGGAAGACTGTGGTGTGGATGTCAATGTAATGCTGTTATATATAACACTACTACACTTAAAATAGAGGTAAGGCATGATCCAACACAACCACCCCAACCTAAACTAATGTCAAAAACCATTCTTACCTTGTATTGTCAGATCAAGAGATCCAGGGTTTAGAATCTCCTTTCGTTACCTTATGGTGATAATTATGTATCAACGACATCACCATCATCACCATCACCACCACCATCATCA